CTTAAGAATTTATGAAATTATGGTGTTGATTAGTGTGCATTGTTTGTTACAAAATAAGCGTGTGTCGGTGTCCTTAAGTAGCACAGGATAATCTTGGCTCAAAAACGGGGCAATGCACAGTGGCTTCCAGCAATTGTGTGTGAATTGTCTATGTTTGTGAAATTATATATAATTCATGCAATTATGCAATGAAGGTACTTGTGTGTTTATGTGCGCCATTGTAAAACTAATTTCCCAAGATGATCAGTAAAGTGGAATTTATTTACTTATATCTATTTTCTTAATTTTAGTAAGTAGGCCTTGATAGATTCTAAACATAACATAGTAACAACAAGACTGTTGTTATCAATTAGTAGTGCACGACTGTAGTGTTGGTCTTTTAGTGGTTAGGCTACCAAACAGCTCAGCCCGATGCTGTGTCATTGGGAAACACACTTAACACGAATTTGCCCTACTTCACCCACGTGTGAATGAGTATCCGGTCATTGGAAGTGAAAGGTCTTGTCAGAATGCTAGTGTTTTAGCGTCTTTAAAATGACAGCTTGCACCGTATGCTGCCCATGAAGTTGAGATTGTCCCAGAATTCTGTGAAGTGCGCTGGAGTAATATAGACTTGTTAAGAGATTGCTGCTGTTGTTGTATTTTGTGGTTGTCGATCCTGCAACAGTTGTGAATGTTAGGTCTCGGAAGGAGAAGTGTAGCTTTGATGTCATTAAGGGATGTGCAGTTGAAAAGGTGATGACCAACCTTGTCATAATCATAGTCGCACAAAGGACACAAAGTAGAAAGTTCTGGTTAATTTCTGTCAAGTGGAAGTTGAGCTGTATATATTCTGTTTGTAGGCAGAAGATCGTGGTCTGTTTCTTTCTCTGCAGGTGGTTAATATTGTCATTTATTTTGTTGTGGTCATATGTTTGAAGTCTGCTCTGTCTGTCTTTCCCAAGGCCCATATGTTTATTCAACCTTGTTCGCTGTTGCTTTTAATGATTTTGTTTTGCAGTGTTGTGTGATGTTGGAGTGTTGGGCTGTTTGTGTCTAGATCCCCTTTTGGCAAGTGTGTACACTCTGTCAATTCTGGGTATGTTTGAGTATCCGGGAATCCACTGCATCACCAGGTTGACGCCTCAGGATGTAATCAGGTGATGGAAGCCAAACAGTGGGTCAAGTCTTGGTTTAGATGATGGTCATTTTCTATTGTTCGCAAGAGTGATAGTGAGTCAGAGAAAATCACATCTGTGTTTTGTTTGGATGAGTGTCCAAAACTGTGCGGAGATGGTATAAAGCTGTTGCAATTGTCATCGTTTCTGCATCGCATTTATTGCTTTTTTCTCCACAGCCTGTAGAGATCTCATTGGAACTTCCATTTGGGTGTTGTAGTAGTATTCCATATCCAGCTTTGGTTGTGCCTTTGAATGCTGAGCCGTCTGTAAAGACGTGTATCCAGTCATCTGAATAGCTGTTGATTGGTTGATGTTATGCAAGCGTTAGCGTCACCAAGACTGAAGATCTTGTGCTATTGTCTCTGAGAGGTGTTATAATGATGGGTTTTTTTTTTCCAAAGTAATTTGGGGAAGGATGTTTTGGTTGACTCTTTTGGTTTCTTTTCTGGTTTGTCGTAGATGGTGACTTTCGTTATTTTTGTGATGTTGTGCGTGATAGATTTTGGTTGAAATAGATTCTTTGGTCTCAATGTTTCTACTAATTTCCTGTTTGGGTGGTAGGGGCACCTTCTTTGGTTCTTTCATGGAGATCCAAAACTGCTTTATCTCTGCGAATTGCCAGGGGTTCAACGTTTGAAAGGATTTCACATAGAGCAATAGGTGTGGATCTCATGCCATCATTAATGAAACGAAGTGCATTAATTTGGACTTCATCAATGGTGTTACAAGTAGTTGCACTGCACATAGTGAGTAGGCTATTGCTGTTTTCCAAGGAAGACTCGACATAACCAAGGTATGGAGCCCTCAGAGTGTGTTTATCTGATCCCCATGAACTGCTTGCGAGTTTCTGTAAAAGTTGGAGTCTTCTTTTTGCCTTGTTCTTTATGTTCTCCGCTTGGCTTTTCATGGTCAGACTGCGGTCAAGTTTGACTCCTAGGTATGATGGGGATATTTTCATGTTCTATTTTCAATTGTAGTTTTTCTTTGGCTGTTTTATGGCTCTTTGGAAAGATGGTGTATACTGTTTTCGTGCAGTTTATTCTAAGCTTCCATTTCTGACAGTAATTGTGGGGCCTCTTGAAGTCTTCATTTAATTTCCCTGCTCCTACTATCGTGCTGTGATCAGTCTGCGTAGAGAGTTTTTTTTCGGATTTCAACACGTTCGTTACATTGTTGAAGAAGATCAGGAACAAAGTGCAACTAAGACAGGAACCTTGGGGCAGGCCTGCCTCGAGTACTTCTCTTGATCTTTGGGCATTGTTCATCTTGGTCTCTATGTTTCGATCGCTGGGAACAACCAGATTCATTTATAAAATTTCCCGTGTATCCCGATGTCCATCTTATTCATGAGTAGACCTTTTCTCCACTCTGTCGTACGCCTGTTGGAGGTCCACAGAGATGGCGACAGTGGTTTTTATTTTTATTTTCTGAAAACCATCCTGGGTGTCTTAGCTTCGTTTGAAAAGTTGGTTTTCTGGGTTACTGCCTTTTCTGAATCCTGCTTGATGTAGGTTCAAACTATTAGTGTTCTCCAGGTACCAGTAGAGACAGCTGTTAATCATTCTTTCAGCAAGCTTACCGATGCATGATGTTAGTGATATAGGTCGGTAGCTCCTTGCTTTTCCAAGTGGTTTCCCATTCGTGTGATCTGGACGATCCTCCATGCCTTTGGTATCCTACTTTCTTTTTTTGACTTAACTTTTTGAGGGCCTGTCTGGGTTCTTCGTGCTTAGCCTTGTTTATGAGGAGTCTATTGGTCTCAGTTAGTTTGCTTGCCCTGTGTACTGAGGCGAAATACCGGTTAAAATGTTTTACTTTCTTATAGTTTTCTGTGATGGTACCTGAAAGGAAAATACGTTTTTGGATGCTTTTGTCTTTCTCGTGAGAGGTTGCTGACAATAGAAGCTTGCTGCTGAGTGGGAATTTGCTCATATAAATGAGGAGTCCACGGGGAAAACTGGCATAGTCACAACCTGGAAATTGTGAGGGTGTCAAATTTAAAAGATTGTGGACTCATAACTTCATATTTAATGTTTGACTGGTGGTTTATTGTTCTGTTTGTTGAATGGGAAATCTGACAACAACAACAACAACAACAACAACAACAACAACAACAACAACAACAACAACAATAATAATAATAATAATAATAATAATAATAATAATAATAAATGACATTTATATAGCGCTCAACTCCGATTAAAGTACACAGGCTCTGAGCGCTTTACAATACAGTACAACGTACAACGGTAACATCAAATGTTGAGTTCTGACTAAAGAAAATTACTCCAAATATTCATCTTATTAATTTAAAAATAGAAACGACTTCAGCTGACATTTGAAAGAATCTAAAGATTTGATCTCTCTTAAAGTACCAACAGTTGAACAGAAATACAGTTATGAGTCAACAAGCGTTCAAACTTGACGCCAACACGATTTTCAGTTTGTGTCTATTCCCGCTTTTCCCGACGACTCCTCAAATACTTTTTATTATTATCATTATTATAATCTAACCCCAAAGAGCTAGGTTACAGATGTCAAAGTGAAGAGCCGCGGACCACACCCGGACCAGCCAACTTAATCATAATTTTGAGCCAGCGAGATAATTTTAAGTAGTCCATTCTGAGAATTCCCATAACGCAAATCCTTACTCTAAACATGAACGAAACTTGCTGACATGAAAAGATGCCAAACAATGCTAAACATCTATCTCTGACAAGACAATTGGGCTTAAGAGTAAAAATTGGATTGCCTTTATTAGCAATCACTTTAACCTTTATTTGTCTTAATTCATTTTATAATTTCCATTCTCACTGCCGAATGTGTGTTAATTCATTCGGCCTGCAACCTTCAGTATAATTTGAGTTTGTCCCCCTATGCAATTGGGTTTGTCACGCCTGCTGCCTGCTAAAGGCACACGAGCATCTAGCGTATTGCAATAACACTGCCCAAACGGACCATCTACTGATTAAAGATGATCAAATTTCTCCCCAGCAATGCTTTTTTTGGGTTGCTTTCCACAGATATCATAGGAGGAAAAAGGGGGGCTCTTGTGGCCTAGAGGTTAAAGTGTTCGCCTCTCATTCACATTCAATGGTCCCGGGTTCCTATCTGGGTAGCAACAGAAAAACTTTCTTTTCTAAAATTGTCTCCTTTCATCCTCCTTTCCTGCTCTCTCGCAATGTTCTGTCGTCTGATTTCTTCTGCACTTTCTGTCCCCACCCCTTCACTTCCTTTGCCCCCTCCTCTGCTACTGACTCTTTTTGCAGCCTTCCACTGCTACTCCTAGGCCCTTCTTTCTGCTGTCTTTCAGCCACACCCCTGATTTTCTGTAGGAAAGATCTACACCAGTACACCTAGCCTTCTCGGACAAGGGCAAATAATCTTGGATGTCCCATGTTCAAGTTGCGCACGTTAAAGATCCCTTGGTGGTCTAAAATCGATAACAAAATGTTAAGTGTGTCCGGCTCGCTCATATGGTCTTATGCAGTTGCGAGCGCCGTAAAACACCAAAAAGAAAAAAAGAAAAAAAAAGACATCATGGGCAGTACGTAAACTCGGTTTGTAGGCCTACCATGCTGTATTACGGAGCAAATTTTAATGGTCCCATTTCGAATCCCAGACTAGTTGTTCTTGAACTCGGGTCGTTTTGTGGAGATTAGAGGCTCGCAACCCATTTCGCTCGGTCCTATCGGAGACGGATGATACTTTCGAAGGTCTCTTCTATCACCTAATAGTGTTGATAGGGGCGTTAAACCCATACACTTACTTACAGGCACCATCATTCACCTGAACAGCGGCCAGGACTCTTCAAGCAGCCAAACTCCTAATCATCACAAAATGGACACTGTCAGTTCTGATCCCTCACAGTTCTACAGTTTTAAAGACACCAGCGATCTCTATATCAAGTACAGGCCAACGTACCCAGAAAGACTCTACGAAAAGGTCATCAAGTTTTGTCAAGAGTCGGAGACTTGTACCTGGGAGCTGGCGGTAGATGTCGCCTGTGGCTCTGGACAGAGTACGCTGCCATTGGCAAAGTTCTTCAAACAGGTTATCAACCATCTAAGAAATCATTTGTGTGTG